CGGAGGCGAAGTCGGTCAGGGCCACGGAGGCAGCGCTTCTCACAGGCGGACGCAAGGCTGGACGCTGCACGTCCACCATCCTCCTGATCCAGAGGGGAATGCAAGAGGCAGTAACCCGAGCCATCGGCGACCAGATTAAGCAGTTCTGGCTCACCATAGTCGACCACCCGACGGAGCTCAAGAGGTACCAGAGAGGCTGGCTCCTGCTCTACGCCAAGCTGGGCGCCCTGGAACCCAACCGCAGGTGGCAGCAGGTCAAGGGGCCCATGGCAGGGGTCATCGCGCAGCTGCTTGGGTTAGGCTGGATACCGCGGCGCCTGGACAGTTGGATCAGCCCAGCAGGTGACGAGTGGGCCTACAAGCCAGATGACATTCCTCACTTCGGCGCGCTCCTGCACGAAGCCCAGCAGAGCGCGCAGCAGCAGCTCTGGCAGCAGGCAGCTGGCCATCGCTGTGGAGAAGGACTTCAGGCTGGTGGCGACCTCTATCAGCTGCAGCGCCACCTGAGGAGGAGGAGGCGCAAAGGACAGCATGCAGAGGCAGCCATGCTGGAGACCATAGCGGTGGCGGGCATCTGGACCAGGGAGCGCTGCAGGGCGGCCAACCTCAACCAAGAAGGCGACGACACCTGCGCGAGATGCGGCGAGGCGATAGAGACAGAGGAACACCGCTACTACGCCTGCCGTGCCAACGCAGAGATAGGGCACGGCAGTGTGGCGAAGAAGGCGAAGGACGCGCTGGACCAGCGGCAGGGCCTGCACTTCTGGCTCCGTGGCATCCCGCCAGCGGCCTGGGCAGCCAAGGTCGACCCAGACGAGGACGCGGCGAAGGCGGCGCAGATCTTCTGCACCAGCGAAGAGGCTCAGGCGGCAGCCCAGCCAGGGCACAAGGTTCGAGCAGACTATGTCTTCACGGACGGCTCAGGCGGTGCAGGGGCAACGGCCAAGGACACCCGCCTCAGACGCTGCGGCTGGGCAGTGGTGGCCTTCAGGTTCGACGAGCACGGGCGCCCGCAGGAAGTGGCCGCCTGGCACGGCGCGATTAGGGCGCCGCACACGGTGCCACGGGCAGAGCTCACCGCTATGAGCAAAGCCATCGGGTACACCACGGCGGCGACAGCCAGGGGGCTCAACATAGTCAGCGATTGCAAGTACGCCCTGGACGCACTCAAGCATATCCAGGATCCCGAGGACCTGGACTACAGGAGCACGAACTACGACCTCTGGCCCCAGACGAAACAGCAGCTGCAGAACAGCACGGACACCATCATGGGCCACCACATCCCAAGCCACCTGATCGAGCACCCAGCCGAGCTGGAGAGGTGGAGTGGTCCCACCTTGTGGGTCATAGGAAACGAGATGGCAGACAAGTACGCAGGCTGGGGAGCGGAGCATGGAGCACTGGATCCAGCCATCATCGCGCAGCAGCAGGTCAGGGACCAGCTCACCACGGCGGTGCAAAACCGGCTGCTGGCCATCAACATGGCGGTGACGGTGGAGGACCCCAACAAGGCCCCTCAGCGTCCCAAGGCCAAGCGCCGAAAGCCGCAGACAGCGAGGGACAGGGCAGCCCAGCTGGGACACGACCTGCGCAAGCTACATCCGCGATGGTGGTGTGCAACGTGTCGCAGTGGCCCAGCCAAAGGACAAAGCATCAGAGACTGGCTGGCAGAGACGGGAGAATGCCTCGGGAAGTACGGCGGCCACCAGGACGAACACGGCAACGTCAGGCTCGATTTCAAGGCGGTGCAGATCGGCACGCAGGTGGTGCACTTCTCCCACGCGACGCAGATCTCCCATGGCTGGCTCTGGTGCGAGACATGTGGCGGCACCAGCTACCTCGGGGACCACAAGAGCAGGATCGTGGCAGGAGTGGCAAGGAAGCTGGCCAGGCCATGTCAGCCCCCAACAGCAGCAGGGCGTCGGGTCTTGGCGGACATGCAGAGGGGCAAGCTGCCAAGAGGAGCTAAGCCAGCAGCAGACCCAGCTGATGAGGGTCTCAACGAGATCACCATGCCTGGTGATTTCAAGCTCTGCCTGAGTAGCCACGAGGCGATCGACCTGGACGGGGGCAGCTCAGAGGCAGGGGGCCCGCAGCCAGCTCCACAGCAGCCACCCAGCCATCCGCACCCTGTCTTCCAAGCCAGCTGGAGGCTCGTGGACCACATGGAGGGCTACGCGGAGCAGTGGATGAACATGGTCGACCAAGAGGTCTGGGACGACATGGACGACTGGATGGAGCACTGCGTACCGCACCTCCTGGCCATCACCAATGTGGGCGGCAGAACGGACACGCAAGAGCAGACCAGGGCCGTCACCGCGCAGGAGCTTCAGCAGATCAAGGACTTCTGCGAAGACGTCTGGCGCAACACGCACCGCACGCGACGGAGGCTCATGACCAGGATGCTTACCCTCCCGCATGGTACAAGGCAGCAGGCAGCAAGAGTGCACATGGAAGCCTTCCAGAACAGAAGGAACAACATCCTAGCGTACAGCATCCCCAGCAGCGAGCGCAGGCCGCTGCCGAGAACAGCGGAGGCCAGCCGAGAGTGGTCACCAGAGAACCTGGACGATGATGACTCGACCCCAGACAGTGAAGCCCCAGAGCTGGAGGGCGAGACGAGCGACCAGGAGATGGAGACCATGGCCGGACCCGATCAGAGTCACGACGCCAACAGCCTGATGCAGACGGCCGTGCAGGTGGCAGTTACGCTGGCCAAGCCAGTGGGGCCCGACCTGATGAAGTTCGTGTTCGAAGCCGATGAGGCCGGCCTGCTCCACCCAAGGCTTCGACAGAACAAAGGAGATGCTGACCAGGACCCCGAGCAGGAGGTGGCGTGGCTCGAGAGGAACAGGCTTGAGCAGCTCATGCAGTCGCTGGCAGGCTGCTGGATCCAGAAAGAGGGCGAGCAGGGCTGGCCATCGTGGCAGGCCGCGTGCGTGCCCCATGTGCTGAGGGCGCTGCAGACTGGCGTCTACCAGAGGCTGTTCAGCAACGTGTCAGGGCCGAGCCGCCAGCGCAGCCAGCGCCGAGCGGCGGAGGAGATCTGCCGCCTGGCATGGCTCAACAGCGGAGAGGCGCGCAGGCATATCCAGCAGCAGGACCCGCAGGAGGCAGAGCGGCGCAGAGCAATGGCTGAGCAGTTCCTGGGCGTGACTGAGCCAGCGGCGAGGAGCCGCAGCCCGCGACCGCAAGCAGCAGTGCGAGTGCCAAGCAGGGCTTCAGCCAGACAGCCGAGGAGGAGCCCAGAGGCCAGGGCCACCAGCAGCCCCGCCGAGCTGCGCACGGCAACGCCAGCGCCCGAGCTCGAGAGGCCCCAAGGACCCAGGGCACCGCAGCCAGAGCGGTCCCTGGGGGCGAGAAGGGCAGAGGAGCGGCAGAAACCCTCTAGCAGGCCCCTGCGTGGCGAGGGGTCAGGCCACCATGGACCCCTGCGCGGCGAGGGGGTAGGCCGCAGAGGGCCCCGGCGTGGCGAGGGGTTAGGCCACAGCCCTGCGCCAGACGGGATGCAGAGGGGTGCCCGTCCCCCACCAGCAGGACGGAGCACCATGGACATGGCAGACCTCGACCACTTCCTTGAAGAGGAGAACAGCGAGGATTGCCTCCAGCAGCCCGCAGACAAGCAGGACAGCGATGACAACCACCAGCAGATCCCAGATGTACAGCACAGCATAGGGTACCACCAGGCAGACCGCAGAGGACCCCAGCGTGGCGATGGGGTTAGGCCACGGAGGACCCCAGCGCGGTGAGGGGTTATACCGCAGCAGACCCCAGCGCGGTGAGGGTTTCGGCCAGGAAGGACCCCAGCACGGCGAGGAGGCAGACCGTGGCAGAGGACCCCCGCGTGGCGAGGGGTTAGGCCACAGAGGACCCCAGCGCGGTGAGGGGTTAGACCGCAGCAGGCCCCAGCGCGGCGAGGGGTTAGGCCACGGAGTGCCCCAGCGCGGTGAGGGGTTAGACCGCAACGGTCCCCAGCGTGGCGAGGGGTTAGGCCACGGCGGACCCCATAGTGGTGACGGGTTAGACCGCAGCAGGCCCATGCGTGGCGAGGGGTTAGGCCACATGGGACCCCAGCGCGGTGAGGGGCTAGACCGCAACAGGCCCCTGCGCGGCGAGTGGGTAGTTAGGCCACGGAGCACCCCAGCGCGGTGAGGGGCTAGACCGCAGCAGCCCCCAGCGTGGCGAGGGGTTAGGCCACGATTTTCCCCAGCGCGGTGAGGGGTTAGACCGCGCCGACCCCCAGTGTGGCGAGGGGTCAGGCCACGACGGGCCCCAGCGCGGTGAGGGGTTAGACCGCAGCAGACCCCTGCGCGGCGAGGGGTTAGGCCACCACGGAGCACCCCAGCGCGGTGAGGGGCCAGACCGCAGCACGCCCCAGCGCGGCGAGGGGTTAGGCCACGGAGGACCCCTGCGCGGCGAGGGGCTAGGCCGCAATGCACCCCAGTGTGGCGAGGGGTTAGGCCACAGCCCTGCGCCAGGCAAGGCGGCCGTGAAGGCGCACGAGTCCAGGGACCAGCGGCCAGGGCGGTCCCTGGAAGAGCGCAGAGCGGAGGAGCGGCTGCGGCCGTCCATCAGGCTGCTCCTCATGCTCTGAGAGGGCGGCGGCAGCATATCTTCAGACTGCCGCCGCTCACGGGGCGACTCCAGGAGTCATCGAGTGGCGGCAGCACGACGCCGTGAGATGAGGCCGCTGGCCCACCCCGCCTCGGGCCGTTCTGCCTGCGCGGGGTGCCGAGACCAGGGGCACCCACTCACGGGCGGCGGCACGCGGGTTTAAAACTCCTCCTCCTCCTCCTCTCCCCTCTCCTCCTCCTCCTCCTCCTCCTCCTCCTCCTCCTCCTCCTCCTCCTCCTCCTCCTCCTCCTCCTCCTCCTCCTCCTCCTCCTCCTCCTCCTCCTCCTCCTCCTCCTCCTCCTCCTCCTCCTCCTCTTGGTGGGGGGGCATCCGGAAAAGCTCCCGGGGCTATGCGCGTCGGCTGCCGATCGATGCGCCCCGCGCAGGGCCGGGACTGCGAGGGCGCGGCGCGGGCGGAACCGCACCGCGAGGCGCCGCGCTGCCCTCCTCTTTGGGGGGGATGCGAGGGGCCTCCTCGGCTGCTGTTTCGGGCCTCGACGACGACGACGACGACGGCGACGACGACGACGACGTCGACGACGACGACGACGACGACGACGACGACGCGACGAGGAGCCGCACCGCGAGGCGCCGCGTTGCCCTCCTCTTTGGGGGGGGGGCGAGGGCTTTGCGGGCCCCGGAAACGGCAGGGCCGTTTTTTCACCGTTTCCGAAAACATGTCCCTTGAGAGGGTGGTTTGCTAAAGGGAGGTTTGTCCACCGCCGAGTCATGTTTGCCTCAGGGCCATCTCGGCGCAAGAGCGCGTGGGCTCAGGCTTAGTGGGCCCCAGAAACGGCAGGGCCTTTTTTGTTCACCGTTTCCGAAGTCCCTTGAAAGTTGAAACGGCAAAAAAAACGGCGACCGGAAACGGCCAAAAACCGGCTCCAGGATGGGAGCCGGAGCCGGAACCGGTAAAACAACGGCGACGGAACCGGTAAAACATCGGCGTCGGAACCAGTAAAAAACGGCAAAGCGGAACCGGTAAAAAAAACGGCCCTGTCGTTTCCAGGGCCCACTAAGGGCGAGGGGCCTCTCGGCTGCTGTTTCGGGCCTCGACGACGACGACGACGACGACGACGACGACGACGACGACGACGACGACGACGACGACGACGACGACGACAACGACCACGCGCCCGACGTCGTCGTCGACGACGACGACGATCGAAGAAGGAAAAACAACATAAACATGAGCGTACATACGCCGACATAAGCATCATCGCCATAAACGTCGATGGCCGAAGAAAAACGCCATAAGCATAAACGTGCCTCAAGTGTTGGCGCTCTCCGCGGATTTCTTGCATCTGCGCTGGGCCTTGGGCGCTAAGAGGCCCCGAGGCCCGCACCATTGGCCATCTCGGGGGAGCGCCTGCCAGTTAGTTCCGGCTGGCAGGGCACAGACAGCGATGGGCCTTGACATCGCATTGCAAGCAACGAGGGGCCAGACCCAGATTCGGCTAGGGGTCGGTGTCATTATCAGTCCGGTCCTGCCACCTTCTTCTTGCACCGGGGCCATCGAGCACTGAGTCTCCCAGCCTTCCGAAATCTCAGCCCTCAGACGGTGGAGATCCGCCGTCCGTAGCCAATTAGCTCAATAGGGGAACGAAGAATGACATAAACAGAATACTGAGGTCCGCGCGGATTTCTCGGATCCGCGCTGGACCCCCCTCCCTGGCGCGCGGAGCGCGTCAGGGGCGGCGCCGGAGGCGTCGACAGGGGAGTCGAGCGCGGATGCGAGAAATCCGCGCGGATCTCCGAGTTGTTGTTGTTCCTGTCTTTGCTTGTTCCCCGAAGTTTGGGTCAAGTCATTCTGAGGTTGACAGCCCTCCTACCCTGACGCGTCGATTGGAGGACTGGCCGTTGTCGGTTCGCGAGGGGGCGTCGCGGCCGTCTTTTTGTTGCAGGTCCAGATCCGTCGGCTTCGGTCCCAGGCTGTCTTCACTAAAAGGGTGGTTTGCTAAAGGGAGGTTTGTCCACCGCCGAGTATTTTTTGCCTCAGAGCCATCTCGGCGCAAGAGCGCGTCGGCTCAGGCTTAGTGGGCCCCAGAAGCGGCAGGGCCGTTTTTTTCACCGTTTCCGAAGAAGTGCCCCTTGAAAATGGAAGCGGCAACAAAAACGGCGACCGGAAAAACGGCAACAAAAACGGCTCCAGGATGGGAGCCGGAGCCGGAACCGGTCAGAAAACGGCGACGGAACCGGTACGAAAAAATGGGACCAGTCACAAAACTGCCCTTTCGTTTCCAGGGCCCACGTCGCGCGTGGGCTCAGGCATGGCCTGGGATCCTCCAACGGGTGTTTCTCAAGCTGATTGGGGTGAGCATCATCAGATTCGTCATCTTTCTTTCCGCATCCTCAGGTACAACATGCAGAGTCTGCAGCCGTGTTACAAAATCCTGGCAGGCCGGTGCGCCTTCCAGCTCTGGATCGTGTGAACCGAGGACAGGGTCAGCCTGGTTCGCGTGCAGACAGAGCAGGCACGGCCTGGCGCGACCCACGCCCCCATAGTGCCGGCGCGGCGCCCTCCCGTCGCCCGTCGACGCGTGCTTACCTTTCTCCGGGGCCTGCGCGGTGAGCTGCGAGGGTGCATGCCAGGAAGCAGCGGCAAGACGCTCTGGCGTGCGTCTGTCGCGGATCGGCCCTGCGAGGGAACTTCCAGGTGTGGGGGGCAGTAGTGGGCCCTGGAAGCGACAGCGCCGTTTCGCACCGGTTCCGTTTTGACGTTTTCTTGCTGGTTCCGACGCCGTTTTTTTTCCGGTTCCGTCGCCGTTTTTTTACGGGTTCCCGCTCCGGTTCCACTCTTGGGGCGTTTTTGTTGCCGTTTCCGGTCGCCGTGTTTTTTTCCGTTTCCATTTTCAAGGGACATTTTGTTTTGGAAGCGGTGAAAAACCAGCCTTGCCGTTTCCGGGGCCGGGCAGAGTCTTGTCTTGGGCCTTTTGCGAAGAGGTTGGTTTCCCAGGTTTCAGATTCGAAGGCGCTGCCAGGGAGGGGGCGCGGTGTTCATTCAGGGGGACGCGTCGCCAATTAACGGCGCGCGCGTGCCTCTGAAGCGGACGACATGCAGCGGGAACGGGATTCTCTCAAGCAGAATCGTGCCCCGCACATTGTTGCACGGAGGTTTTCTGTAAAACGCATGAGAGTTGATCCTGTTTTGCTAGCGGAGACCCTCGCGGAGGAGGGTTCGACCCCACCCATCGGAGTGGACATGACGATGGCAGGAAATTTCCAAATGACGTTGTACGGGGAATGGCGCGATGTCGCTGGCGCGACGATCTATGAGGATGTGTGAGGCATGAGTCGCTGTTGCGAGGGATTGCGTGCTGGCTTCCGGCGGCGCAGAACGCGGTTCTGTGCCACGGACTCTTCGTTCAGATGATAGAGGTGGGTCGTGTGCGGTCGTGGCGCCTTGTGCGAAGCTCCCACGTGGTGGCTATCAAATTTATTTCGTTCGGAAAAGTTTCGTTCGCATCGGGCGGCCATGCTCGGGATTGTGCGCGGAGGCATGCAGCCTTTTTTTTGGATCGCAAGGGAAAGGTGGCGTTACATGGACTTCGGTTGCTATTGCAATTGGCCCAGAAGAGCCCACCCCTCCTCCTCCACTTCCTTTTCCCTTTTCCTTTTCCTTTTACAATTACACAATATGAAAATACTCCCCCCCTTCCCCTGATGGCGTCCCGAAGATATCCGACCCCCCCCGCGTACTTTTTTTTACACAGGATTCCCGGGAAACGGGTTTTCGCTTGCGTTTTTTTTCAAAATGCTGCTCTCGCTGAGGCGCCGGCCCCATTTCTGCTCCCGAATCGTTCCGGATCGTGCTCCTGCTGCAGCGTGGGCCTCATTTTCGGATCGGTATTTGGCCTCCGTCGTTCGGGATGGCGTTCTCGCCCCAGCGCGGGCCTCTTTCACGCGCGCCCATCCGCCCGCCACCACCGCGCCGCACCACCACTACCACCACCACCGCCACCACCACAACCACCACCAGCAGCAGCATCAGCACCACCACCACCAGCACCACCACCACCAGCACCACCACCACCACCACCACCACCACCACCACCACCACCACCACCACCACCACCACCACCACCCACCACGCACGCACGCACGCACGCACGCGCACCACCACCCACTACGCACGCGCGCGCGGAGCCACAGGTCCGCTACGACACGCGTCCGCGGATAGAGAAAATCAGCGCCATGGTGAGGGATGGGAGGGAGGGGTAGGACGTCAGATATGACGCGAGCGCACCTAGCTTGCCTCTTTCCCCTCCCCCTCTCCTCCTCCTCCTCCACCTCCTCTTCCTCCCCCCCTCCTCCTTTTCCTCCTCCTCCTCCTCCTCCTCCTCCTCCTCCTCCTCCTCTTCCTCCTCCTCCTCCTCCTCCCCCTCCTCCTCCTCCTCCTCCTTTGTTTTTGGGCGGTCTTAAACCCGGGCCGCGCCTCCGTTCCACGACGTGTGGCCCGCGGGCGTCAGAGACCCGTCGGTTTGGACCGGGCTGGGGGCCTCGCCGGATGAGGCACGGAGGAGGAGGAGGAGGAGGAGGAGGAGGAGGAGGAGGAAGACAGGAGGAGGAGGAGGAGGAGGAGGAGGAGGAGAGGAGGAGGAGAGGAGGAGGAGACGGAGGAGGCACGGAGGGGGAGGAGGAGGATGAGGGGGAGGAGGGGGAGGGGAGGAGGAGGAGAGGAGGAGGAGGAGGAGGAGGAGGAGGAGGAGCAGGAGCAGGAGGAGGAGGCACGGAGGAGGGGAGGGGAGGAGGAGGAGGGAGGAGGAGGAGGAGGAGGAGGAGGAGGAGGAGGAGGAGGAGGAGGGAAGGGGGGGAGGAGGAGGAGGAGGAGGAGGAGGAGGAGGAGGAGGAGGAGGCACGTAGGAGGAGGAGGAGGGGAGAGTAGGAGGAGGAGCCTCGCCACATGCTGGGATGTGCAGCATCCTCGAAGGTCAGAGGCGACAGTAGGGGCGAATAACGCCCCAGGGAGGAGCGATGCGCGTACTCGGGTGCGTCGATGATCCACGTCTTCGAAAGAGGCTCCCGGGCGAGTGCGTTCAATGCCCGCCACTGGGCCATCTGCCCCTATCGCCGCCGCCGAGCAGGAGTTGCCCATCCTCGGTGGCAGCGGAGTCCACCCATGCAGGAGGGCCGACGGCCGGACGCGTGCTTCGGGGGCGGCCCGCGCGCCCATGGGGGCCAACGTGTGTGGCGCGGGTGCCTTCTGGCCGCGGAGAGAGCGGAGCCTGCAGCCTCTTGGGCGGTCTGGGTGGGGTCCGAGGAGCACCGCGGGTCCCCCAAGTTTTGGCAGCGCCCCAGTGGCCCTGGCATCGCGCAGACTCGCACACACGTGCGTTTGTTTGAGGCAGGCCCCGCCGAGCGGCCATCTCGGCCACGTCGTCGAGCCCATCCTCTCCGAGGCTCAGCATGGGACCGCTACGTGAAGATGACCAATCTTGTTATTATTATTGTTATTATTTTTTATTATTATTGATATTATTTTATTATTAGTATTATTTCTATTATTATTTCTATTATTATTATCATCATTATTAGTATCATCATTATTATTATCAATACTATTCTTATTCTCATTATTAATTTGCCGACCGACACAAAGGGGAACAACAAGTGACATAAGCATAACAACTCTGAGGTCCGCGCGGATTTCTCGGATCGACGCTGGGGCCTCCCGGCGGCGCCCTTCGGCGCCGCCCCTGGCGCGCTCCGCGCGCCAGGGAGGGGGGTCCAGCGCCGATCCGAGAAATCCGCGCGGCTCTTCGAGTTTTTATGTTTATGTCAATTTTTGTTCCCCTACAGCAGCCTTCGTACCAACAGGATTCAGCCATTGCCCTCGTCCATGGCGAGATGTGGCGTTTGGGAATGAAGGGGCCAGGACTATTTTGCACGAAGCTGATTTCGACCCCGCCGCTGGGTGTTGAGAAAGGGGTGCTAGGATAACTGCCGCATGAAAATGTTTCGCCCCGCCGCTGCGCATGTTGATCGATACAAGGTCACTCCCAACGCCGCCTCCACGAGCCGAGTCTGTGCGATTCGATTTGCCAGCGGGCACCACCATTCCGATTCGATTCGATTCGGCTTTATCCACCGGCATCGACCAGGACTGATCTGACTTTGATTCGATTCGAGTCGATTCGTTTGCGATCCGATCCGTTCCGGCTTCGCAATCCGATCTGGCTCGGGCCTGCCGGGGTCTTCCAGGCCACCCCAGTCAGCGGAAAGGAGGGGGCCCAGGCGCAGTGGGAAGGGCACGGGCGGCACGCCGCCGACGACGACGACGCCGCCGACGATGACGACGACGACGACGCCGAGGTCATGTCGGATGTCGGACGTGACCCGAGCGCACCCTTCTTGCCGCCCGGCTTGCCCGCCGCACCTCCGCACACACCCCTTGGGCCGCGCCTCCCTGCGCCGCTGGCGGCCGGCCGCCACCGCCGGCGGTGCCACGCTCCGCGCCGAGGCCAGCGAGCTGAATTCGCAGGCCGACATGGCCATGCAGGCGCCGCGGGGGCGAGGCGGGAGGTGTTTGGCTCCCAGGAGGCGTGTTGCCTTTTTCGCCTTGCGCTGGACCGCTCTCGGGCCCCTGGGGCTGTCAAAAACGGATCCGGAGTGGAGATGCCCCCCAGAGTCAGCATCGCTTATACAGGATCCCTATCCCCACTCCCCACCCCCATCCACGTCTCGAGCCCCACCATCTCACCACTTCAGCTGGGGAGAATGCCCCTCGAGACCCGAAGAGGGCCAGCTGAGCATATGCCCAGCGAGGCAGCCTACATCCCCATCCAGGGGGGGAAGTCGGCCCGTGGGGCCCAGCCCACGCCGGTGGGGAGGGGGATCGGTGACGCGACGCTCACAGGTAGATTCCCGGAGGGGTCCAGGGACCGCTGTCGAGCGGATTGGGCCCCGTCTCCCACCCTCGATCCCTGCTCTGTGGGCCCGTGCCTGTTCAGAGGCCCTGGCCGCCTCCAACCCCATAGGGTTCAGCGCGCCTGCTCTCGAGAGAAGGCACGATGGGGAGGGGGGGTGGCACAGGCTTCGCCAGTGGAGGGCAAATGGCCCCCCCCTCCTCCTCCCATACCTCCTTCTCTTCCTCCTCCTCCTTCTCCTCTTCCTCCTCCTCCTCCTTCTTCTCCTCTTCCTCCTCCTCCTCCTCCGCCTCCTCCTCCTTCTCCTCTTCATCGTCCCCCTCCTTCTCCTCCTGCTCCTCTTCCTCCTCTTCCTCCTCCTCTTCCTTCTCCTCCTCCTCCTCCTCCTCCGCCCTCGCATTGGCGTCGGTTGGACAGTCTTGCCCTGTTCTCCAAACAGGCTTCCCTATCAGGAGTCCCTGCTCCATACGCAGAGAACTGTTCCCTTGTACCCTCCCCTTTTTTTACCCCTACGCGCGGTCTCTGTTGCGCATAGCTAGCTTCCTCTGTTGTACATGGTTTCCTCGCATGGCATGACTTTCAATTGTTCCCTATACACGCATCCTCTGTTGTGCATGGCATCCTCTGTTGCGCATGGTTTCATCTCTATCGTCCTCTGTTGCGCATGGCTTCCTCTGTTGCGCATGGCTTCCTCTGTTGCGCGTGGCTTCCTATGCTATCCGCATGTCTTCCTCTCTATTCGTATGGCGTCCACGGTTTTCAACCAACATGGCTTTCTGTGTATTCGCATGGCTTCCTGTGCTACTGCAGTGGCTCCATGTAGCCATTACACTTGCGTCCCAACAGTCGTCCATCCATCGCCATTGCTCCGAAGTAGAGTATGGTAGAGCAGGACAGAGCAGCGTAGAGAAGAGTAGATGAGTTGAGGAGAGGAGGGGAGAGCAGCAATAAAGTAGCAGTAGAGTAGCAGTAGAGTCAAGTAAGCCAGGTCGAGCGAGCCAGAAGTTCCCCCCTGTTCCCACCCTCCCTCGACGTCGTTGTCGACGTCACCGTGATACCCGCCCGCCCCAATCACCGACCCGCACTGAAGTAACCGCGCGCCAGAGTGGCCTTTGAGACGCGCTGGGAAGTTCTCATCGTGAAGCGCTATTGCGGCCGCCTCGCGGCCGTATCAGCTGCGCCAGTCCAGCTGATCGCTCTGCTTGCGTGTGCGCACGCGTAGCCAGCCATGATTTCATGTCTGCGGCCCGCGCTGGCGAACACGACTGCGGCGGTTGTAATCCCGTGTGCATGCTGCAGGTCGGGCTGCCTGTGCTACAGATACAGGCACCCCGAGCAGCTGGGCCAGTCCGATCACCCGGGGCGCCGCCTCTGGCGGCGCCCCCCAGGGCGCTCCGCACCCAGGGAGCACGACGCGTGCGAGGGGTGTGCCGGCATGAGCGGGGTGACGGCTCCCGTGGGGGCACCACGCCTGTGAGTGGTGTGTGTGTGTGTGTGTGTGTGTCGAGATGGGCGGGGCGCGGCGCACGTCCGCAGCCACTGGAGCCGCAGGTGGGGCTTCTTCTGGGGGCAGGGAGCGTATGATGTGCGGGTCTGTGCGTGTGCGTGTGTGCCGAGATGGGCGTGCGGCCACCCGTTTGTGGACTGGTCGATGGGTGCACGAAGCGTAAAGCGGAGGTGTGTCGACGCGGGCGTGGGGCAGCAGGCGGAGCGTGTGAGGTGGGTGCCGAGGTGGGCGTGGGGCGGCACGCGTCCGCGCCCAGTGGGGCCGTCGCTCCCAAAGAGGACACGAAAGGTGTGAGCGGTGATCCCGCATGGACATGCAGACGTAACGCAGAGGCAGGGAGAGGATGAGGAGGAGGTTGGGGGAGGAAGATGACGAGAAGAGACGCGCGGCGCTTGGACCCGAACGGCACAGGAGCGTTTGGGACATTGTATTGACTACAGTACCGATGCACTGGCACACGCACACGCACACACACACACACACGCATACACACACGCACACACACACACACACACACGCACACGCACGCACGCACACACACAAGCACACTGGGTCGAGGGATCATGCCTTACAAAGGGCACGCATAATGAGACATTGGTCTGCCAACCAGTGGAGACTTGTTATCCCCCGACCGCCCTGGGCACCCATTGGAGTTCTGGGGCATCCCGCGAAGTTCAGCATCGACCATCGAGCGAAGTCCAACATCGACCGAAGAGTTCAACATTTCCTTATAGCGTGATTTCTTAACATACGTATCTTCTTTGCCTTGGCAGGCGCTGCGGCAGTCGCTGGACATGAAGTTTGCCACCCAGCGGGAGGCGTTCCTGTCCCTGCCCAAGGACGGTCGCCTGGGTCTCCTCGCCAGCTGCAGCTGAGGGCTCCCGGAGGGTCCAACAGCCTCTGGGCTGAGAGCTCGAACCATCCCAGGTGGTAAGGTTTCGTGCTGCTCAAGGACAGCTCCGTCAGGTCACCACATTCATCGGGGGCAGAAAACCCACCCCGAGAATAACAACCCCGACACGCGAAGCCGTTCAGTAAACGCACCCAAAGAAGGAATCAAACAGGGCAAGGCTGTTTGGTAAACGCCCAGGGCCGTTTAGGAAACGCCGACTGTCCCGCCTTTTTTTTGTTCCTCCTCCCCTGGATCCAGAGACATCCAAGCGAGGCTGGCAGACATCATAGCGGCAGGTCCCGCGCGAGAGTCGAGGGGCCGCCGACGTCGTGGAGCCCGCGGAGCGACCAGGTCGCCCTGTCTGGGCCGATGGTCTGGGCCCAAGGAGGCCCCCGCGAGCAGTTTTTGGGGGGTCCCTCGGCCGCGGCACCCCGAGCCCCGGAGCGCGGCGCGCGCCCCTGCATAGGACCGGGGCGCCCGTCGCAGGCGGCGGCGGGGTGCCGCAGCCGCCCCGGGCTGCACCCCCCGCGGGCGAGCCGTCGGGAGGAGCTCGGGGGCCCCAAGCGGGGTGGTGACCACGCCGTGCGGTGAGCCGGCGGGGAGCAGGGGTCGCCCCCCAACGGGGCGGTGTTGGGCGTTGCGCAAGGGGGGGGGGTCATAAATGGGGGGGGCGAGGGTGGTCCGAAAGGGTTCCCAAGCAATACCTAAACGAGCCCCCTGGGGCTCCGAAAGGGGACCGTTGCTGACCCGCCCATTTGGAACCCCCATGAAGCCACGCCCAATGGTGATGGCACCGTGCGGTGAGCCGGTGGGAATCGGGGGTCACCGCACGGTTTTGGCACTCGGGTCCCCCTCCGAGGACGTCTCGGGCGACAGGGGCCTCCAGGGTCCCAGGACCGTGCGGTGAGGGTGCGCGCGGCGAGGTCTTAGGGGATTTCGAGGTCACCGCGCGGTCTGTCACCGCACCGTTTCGGGCCTCCAAAGAAGAGGGGTCCAGGAGCACGCGGTGACACGCAGAGGCCAGCTCTCGTGGGTCTGGAGGCCGGGGAGGGGGGGGGGGGTCCTCTCCGAGCCATCCTGGCGCCCGCTTAGGGTCCCTTCGGGAGTCTCTGGGGGCCTCAGGGGGCTCTTCTGGGGCCCTCGCGGGTGGCTTGGAGGCCCGCTAGGTGCCATCCTGGATGGCATAGGTAACAACAAGCAAGGGGGCGGATAGGACCTCTCGGTGGCATGCTGGAGGCCATCTTGGGCTATGTTGCGACATCGTGGGTTCCATCTTGGGCGAACTGGGGCACCGGTCGAGCCACTCTGGGCCATCTTGGACGCCGCTCGAATCCCTCGTGCCCCCCCCCCGCCATCAGCTTGAAGTCGGGCCTGTCTCCCATACAGGAGGAATATTCAAAAATGATCAAAATTATCCCAGTGCGGCCCTACCTAGGAGTTGGAGCATTTAGGAAAGCAACATCTACATCTACACCGACAGCTACATTTACATATACACCTGCATCTACATCAACATCAACATCAACAGCGATATTCGCATCTACATCTACACCTACATCTACATATATACCTACATCCACATCTACACCTACACCTACATCTACATCTACACGTTCGCATTCGTTTTGCTTTTGCTTTGCATTGCCTTTGCTTTTGCTCTTGCCTTTGCTTTTGCCTTTGCTTTTGCTTTTGCTGTTGCTTTTGCTTTGCTTTTGTGTTTGTTCCCTACCTAGGCTCTGCCTAGAAGGTTTCTTATTATTAGGCTTAAAGGGCCCGGCAGTGGAATGCGCCCCGGGCGGTTCCCCCAGCGACGTTCCTTTAGCTTCGCGTTGCTTATCTCATCTTAGCTCAGCTCATTCCATCTTAGCTTAGCTTCATCTTAGCTGAGTTTAGCTTCATATAAGTGTTTGATGTTGCTTTCCTAGATCCTCCAAGATATTTGTTGCTTGAGATTGTGTTTGCTTTGCCTGCGCACAGACACACACACACACACACGCATGTTTTCGCAGTCGTTCACCGGGTGTGCTTGAGAACGCGCCGTATCCGGTCTACACCGCACGATTTGGCATTGAGCAAGGTTGTGCAACACTTGCTACACCGAACGTTCCCACGAAATTGTACAGCAGCAACTCCCAGATCGGTGCATCATTGGCGCTGGAAGATAAGCTAAGCAGATAAGCTAAGCTAAGCAGCTAAACTAAGCAGGTCGCTGCAACAGCAACAGCAGATAAGCTAAGCTAAGCTAGGCTACAGCTACAGCTAAGCGAAGCTGATATGAAGCTAAGCTAAGCTAAGCTAAGCTAAGATGAGATACGCAAAGCTAAGGTCAGGGGGTGCAATTGGGGGAACCGCGGGGCGGGGACTGGGGGAACCGCCCAGGGCGAAGCCCACTGCCCGGCCCCTTGAAGCTAATAGAGTAAGAACCCACTAGGCAGAGCCTAGGTAGGGAAAAAGATAAGATAAGATGAGATAAGCAACGCTAAGCTAAGGAGACGTATCTGGGGGAACCGCGGGGCGGATGCCGGGGGAACCGCCCGGGGCGAAGCGCACTGCCCGGCCCTGTAAGCACACAGGGCAAGAACCCTTCTAGGCAGAGCCTAGGTATGGAAATAGTCTTGGGACTATTGTTTGAACATGTTTGGGGTATTTGGTGAGTATTTGTTTTTTTATTTCCCTACCTAGTCTCTGCCCAGAAAGGTTCTTACTCGTTTTGCTTATAAAGGGGCCGGGCAGTGCAAATCGCCACGGGCGTCTCCCCCGGTCCCTTGGGAGCGGTTCCCCCAGTCCCCTGGGAGTTTTAGCTTTAGCTTTAGTTTTAGCTTTAGCGCGAACTTCTGCTTTCTCTTAGCTGAAGCTTAGCCTTAGCTTAGCTTTAGCTTAGCTTCAGCTTAAGTTTCGCTCAGCTTTAGCTTAGCTTTATCTTAGCTCTAGCTTAGCTTTAGCTTAGCTGTAGCTGAGCTTTAGCTTAGCTTTAGCTTAGCTGTAGCTTAGCTGTAGCTTAGCTTTAGCTTAGCTTTAGCTTAGCTTTAGCTTTACCTCAGCTTTACCTTACCTTTACCTTAGCTCTACCATAGGTTTACCTTAGCTTTACCTTAGCTGCACCTTATCTGTTGCTTAGATTTAGCTTAGCGCGAACCTAGCTTTAGCTTAACTTTAGCTTAACTTCAGCTGAGCTGTAGTTTAGCTTGTGCTTAGCTTTATCTTAACTTCAGCTAAGCTGCAACTTAGCTTTAGCTTCGCTTTAGCTTAGCTTCAGCTCAGCGTTAGCCTAACTTTAGCTTAGCTGCAGCGTAGCTTTAGCTTAACTTTAGCTTAGCTGTAGTTTAGGTTTAGTTTAGCTTTAGCTTACTGTTACGACCAATGCTGCTTTCCTAAGGGTTCCAACTCCTAGGTCGGGTCGCACTGGGATAATTTCTTCCAAAATCTCCGTGTAGGGGGGCAAGCCCGACTTAACATCTAGGCTGTTTCCACGCACGGCAAGGAGACAGGAAGGGGCTTGGAAGAGAGAAACTCGTAAACCACACCTACGCCCAGAGTGCAGGTGGGATTTTTCCTCGGCCCATTCTCGCATGTGGGTTTGCGTCGCCTTGGGCCGAGCAAAGGCCTGGTCACAGGTGGGAGCGGTGGCCCAGTGTTCCGTTTCGGGGCTGCCTGGGCCCGGCGCAGACCTGTAGGGAGGAAGAGGAGGAGGAGGAGGAGGAGGAGGAGGAGGAGGAGGAGGAAGAGGAGGAGGAGGAGGAGGAGGAGGATTGTCGCTGTCGCAGCTGCTTTTCCGTTCCGGGCCCGGGTCGTGGGCAGGCACACCTGGACCCCGCGGCGGGCCGCCGCGGAGCGGCGAGAGCGGCAGGGCGGCGGCGCGCTGTGGGGCTCCGCCGCGCGCCCCGTGTGGGCGGCGCTCGAGGCTTCCCGGGGAGCGCCGCGGGCGCGAGGCTCGAGGCGCATCGAGCAGGGCCGCGGGTCCGAGGGCCAGCCTCTCGCTGCAGGGCCTCGGCGCCGGGGGGGTGGTCAGAGCCCCAAATCATCAGGGGTAACTCGGGTCAGGGCTAACTCGGGTGCGTTTTTCGGGAATCCAAACCCGAGTTACCCCGGACCCGAGTTACCCCGGATAACTCGGGCGCCCAAGGGGGGGGGCGGGCCTCGACGCGCCGCCGCGTCCCGCCGCGGCCCCCCCCCGACGAGCCGGCCTCTCCGCAGGCCCCCCTGCCGCCGCCGCGGCCCCCTCTGCCTCGCGCTCGCTGTCGCTCTCGCTCGCTCTCGCTCGCTCTCGCTCGCTCTCGCTCGCTCTCGCTCGCTCTCGCTCGCTCTCGCTCTCGCGCTCTCTCTCTCTCTCTCTTTCTTGCCCCGTGCCTGCCTGTCCTTGCGCTGCGCATCTTCGGGGCACCTCGCGCCCGTCCCCCCAAGGACTGGTGTCTTCTATTGGTTCTGGCGCGGGTTCGGCGCGGATCGGGCGAGTCTGACATCATGGATTCGACACGGATTCGAGGCCGATGCGGCCGCGACGGGACAGACAAGATTCCCCGAGGATGCACTACAACTCACCTCTCTCGGTCTATGCACGCATCCCTCTCGCAGGGCTCGCTTGGAACGGTGTTTTGGCAGTTTCGAGGACCGTTTAATTTTCCGATCCCGTGTTGCAGCAGTGGAGAAGCGAAGGCAACCCGAGGGGAAACGGAAACAGAGCGAGCACGAGCAGCACCGTTTCGGTCGAGCCTTGCTCTCTCGGTCCATGCCCCGACGAACGCATCTCTACACCACCACCGTGCCAGGCCAGGACCATCCTGAGCCCCAGGATGGTGCATAGACCTTCCTGGCCTCGGCCAGGATGGCGTATACACCATGCCGGGGCCAGGATGGCCCTGGCCTGGCACGGTGGTTGTGTATTAATGCATTCTGCGTATATAGGGGAACGAGGAATGACATACACATAAAAACTAGGAGGTCCGCGCGGATTTCTCGGGTCCGCGCGGGACCCCCTTGGTGGCGCCTCCGGCGCCGCGGGGTCATCCTGGACCATCGAGCAAAAAAAACACGCACGAAATCGAATAATGCACGGGAAATGGACGTCCGAGCGACGGCTAGTTCTTGGCTCTCGTAGTGTATGCCTCTGCCTCTCTCTGGCTCCGTCCTGCCCCCTGCGGCGCGCGAGGACGCGAAGTCCGCGCTGGACGAGGCCTCGGTGCGCGACGCGCTCCGGAGCCGCAGCATCGACCTGCCCCCGGCGCAGCTGGAGCAGGCGCGGCGGCCCTTCTGGCCTCTCGAAGTCTCCGCCGTGGGCTCGCGAGGAGCAACAAAAAAATACAAGACGCAGTGCATCGTCGATCCCCAGCTTGGCATCGCTCGGACGTGTGCATTTTTCCTTCGGCAAAGACCATCGAGGAGCATCCTTGATCATTTGGCGAAGAAACCACGCACGAAACCGAAAAAAACACAGGAAATGGACGTCCGAGCGATTTCTGATGGGGAGGGTGGGGTTCACTTCGTTCGGGAGCTCCCGAGCGAAGTGAACCCCACCCCTACCCCCCTCAGAAGTCGTGGGGGGTAGGGGTAGGGTTCACATGTGGCACCCTAACAAGACACCGTGCATCGTCGATCCCCAGGGGCAGGTGGGAACAGATGGGAGGTGGAGGGGAAGACACACGTCCAGAAGTCACGAGAGGGCATGGCGCGGCGGCCTTCTGGCCTCTCGAGGTCTCCGCCGTGGGCTCGCGAGTAGCAACAAAAAATACAAGACGCAGTGCATCGTCGGTCGCCAGGGGCAGGTGGGAACAGATGGGAGGTGGAGGGGAAGACGCGCGTCCAGAAATCACGAGAGGGCATGGCGCGGCGGCCTTCTGGCCTTTCGAGGTCTGCGCCGGGGCTCACGAGGAGCAAAAAAAACATAAAAGACACAGTGCATCGTCGGTCGCCAGGGGCAGGTGGGAACAGATGGGAGGTGGAGGGGAAGACGCGCGTCCAGAAATCACGAGAGGGCATGGCGCGGGTTGGCCTTCTGGCCTTTCGAGGTCCGCGCCGGGGCTCGCGAGGAAGGAAGACATACAAGACACAGTGCTACGTCGATCCCCAGGAGAGATCGGACCCCCTCGAGCCACGAAAGAAACACGACGAGCGGCTTTTCCCAATTTTCGGCCTCCGGGGTCCTTTACGGGGCCTCGGGACCGTGAAACAACGATTCAGGATGAGAAACAGGTTCCGTGGAACGGGTCGAGCCCTCTGGAGGTCGACGTCATGAAAAAATCATGACGTCGAAAGCCTCGGAATGTAGGAAAATGTGGGAAGTGGAGGGGAATGCGAACGTCCAAGGAACATGAAAGAGCCTTCGAGGTGTCCAGGGTGACGTGCCCTTCCTTGACGGTCTCTTGTGCGCGTTCGTGCGATGGTCGTCCTTCTCAGCGATGGGACGTCTCAGTTTCGTTCCAGTATTGTTCCAGTTTCGTTCCATGTTCGCTCCGCTTTCCGTATCAGTTTCTGTTCAGTTTCGTCCCAGAACGAAGCCTCCCAGAACGACATGATTAGATAACGAATTCGGAACCAAAATATGTCCCTTGAAAATGGAAACGGTAACAAAAACGGCGACCAGAAACGGCAAAAAAACGGCTCCAGGATTGGAGCTGGAGCCAGAAAGGGTCAAACAACGGCGATGGAACAGGTAACAAAAACGGCGTCGGAACCGGCAAAAAAACGGCAAAACGGAACCGGTAACAAAAACGGCCCTGTCGTTTCCAGGGCCCACTGAGGGACGCCCTGGGATACACCCCAAAGGGGCTCTTCGGACGCACCCCTGTCGGGGGTGGACGCCACCCCGTCGGTGTATGCCAGGGTCGGGCCCCAAGTTTTCGGGTTCAGTTCGACAACACCAGGAAGCCTGGGATATGGGTCGGCAGATCTCCTGTCAGATACACCGGACTATCGATCCCCAGGACAGTATCGTAACATGTGGGAAGGGGGGTTCGGGGAGACGAAGCTCCAGAAAGCAGTTAGTGAAACATGTAGGGGGTCCTGGGATTTCTGTGTATATTTATTCGTGTGTCCCTGGGCCCCTTCAGGTTCACAAATTCTAGGCGGCATGAGTCTGGTTTGGCATTTGACAGCCCTCAATCGTTTTTGCGAAGACCTCCCAGGAGTTGCGTCCTAATTTGAAGGATCATTGCATGACACGGAAACGTTCGACGGTGCGCACGGATTTCTTTGATCTGCGCTGGCCTTCCCTGCCTCGCGCGCGGAGCGCGTCAGGGGCGGCGCCGGAAGCGCCGCCGGGGGGGTCCAGCGCAGGTCTGAGAAATCTGCGCGTGCCGTCGAAAGTTTATTTCCATGCCTCTGTCTCTTCCTTACTGCAGTGGGAACCCGCGCCACGAGACACCCTGCTTGCCTCCAGGGTGGGTGCCCTGGGTATCTTGGGGTTCGACGGTTTTGCTGTGGTAAGCGTGGTGTTCCCACACCAGCAATCAATGGACGTCCTGGGGTTCCATGGCTGGGTTTCTGCTGGTCGAGCTCCTGCTGTAGGGCGCCTCAGCTCTCTTGCCCTGCTCTGGCCGCTCCCTCCTTCCCGCGCGCGGGCGCGCAACCCGCCTCAAGACGCCCTCGTGGTAAAGTCGGGCGTGCTCCTCTACAGGAGAGGTATTCAAGAGTAGTCGAAACATAATCCTGGGGACTTCTTGTTGAGTGTTTCTTGACCAGTTTTGATTGTGTTCAGACTGTCACAAATGTTCTTCCAGCATCCGCCTGTAGGAGGACATGCCCGACCTGACCCTCGTGCCCCCCGCGGCAGGTGTGGCGGCGGCTCGGCGGCGGGGAGGCCGCCAAGACCGTGTCGTACCGGGACTTCTGGCGGAAGATGTCGAACGGATCGCGGCACGGGCCTCAGCACGACGGCGGAGGCGAGCGAGGGGGGGGAGAGTGAGAAGGAGAAGGCCTTCTCAGAAGGCGGCGGGGCTTCTCAGAAGTCCTCGCGCATTCTGAGATGCGGCTGTGTGTCTCCCGGGCAGGGACAGAACACTTCTCAAAAGGCCCGAGGGCTTGCGAGCCGTTTGAGAAGGCCCGCCCCTTCTCACTTCCCTCCCCGGGCTCCCCGCCGAAGTACGGCGGGGGCGCGTTCGGTGGCAGATCGTGGAAGCCTGGCATGTCCTCGCCGCAGTTCCGCTGTTAGGGCGTGCTAGCGTGCGCTGGCACCTGGTAACCGATAAGAGCGCGCCGATCTAGCGTCGATCAGCATCGATTCGCACCGATTCGCAAGAGCCATCAAGAGTTGCCATGGATTCCAACAGCATCGATTCGCATGGGAAGCTCCCATGAGTTGCCACCGAAGGGTGAGCCAGGTTTCCCGCGCAGAGGAGAAGTTGGAAATGCAGCCTTGGTATTATTCCAATATGAACGCGAGCTCCAATGGGGAGCGCGACTACGGGCTGCAGAGCAGAGCACCAACTACGATGCTGCACGGGAGATGGATCTGAGAGAGGATGAGGAAGATGAGTAGGAGCGGACTGAGACGGATAACGAGAGCGGAGGAGGGCGAGGAGAAGTAGCAGGAAGAAGAGCAGCTGGAGCAGGGCGAGAAGGCGGAGGATAATGAGGTTGTTGCCGCTCTGCTGCCACACCGTGCAATCGCTTCTTCTGGAGGTGCCATTTTGGTATTTTTGGGGGGTTGTGTTTGCTGGCCCTGGTTGGACGAGGTCCCGAGTGGCCCACAGGCCACTTGGATTTGACACGGCACTGCAGTCGGGATCAGATCCCAGGAATTTCAGGTCCAAGCGAGGGCCCCACGCGGGGGACGTCGTCCATTTCGCTGCCGCACTTGCCCGCCACTGCGCTTTTGGGAGACCGGGCGTGGCAGGGAGAGGGCTGCAATACGGGGGGAGGAGGGCTGGCTGTCGGAGGAGGAAAAGGTACCCGTGCTGCTATCTTTGCTTCGTTTTCGCCTTTCTTGGACCTGCTTGTAGGCCCTCGTCACCACGGCTGGGTTCGCCTCGAAAAATTCTAGTCCGAACGCACCCTGGGAAAGGTCCAGGGCGCAGCGGTGTCAATACCGTTTGTTGGGATGCAACTCCTGGGAGGTCTAATTCTGATGTTGCCCTCCTCCGAAGTCCGGCTTCGTTCGGTTTAATCCCGCTGAATCTCGTTTAATCGGGACACACACACGCGCACACACACACAAGACACACACCAAACGCACACGCACACACAACACAACACACACACACAACACACAACACCCAACACACAACACACAACACAAACCACACAACATACACACACACACCGCTGCAGGCGCAGTGGCGAGCAGCTCTTGTCGGAGCCAGGAGGGGTGCAGCAGTCCGCCAGGCCTTCCACGGCCAGGGGGGGGGGAGGGCCTGAGATCCCCGAGGCCCGGGCGCGGGGGGGGGGGGGGCAGCACGCCGAACGCCATTCCATGCGGCATGGGGGGCATTTTTTTTTTTTCTCTCTCTCTCTCTCTCTCTTTCTCTTTCTCTCTCTATATCTTTCTCTCTCTCTCTCTCTCTCTCTCTCTCTCTCTATATATATATATATATCCGTATCCCTCGCTCTCTGTCGTTCTCTCTTTCTCTCTCTCTCTCTTCGTTTCTCTCTCCCTCTCTCCTTCTGTCTATCTCGCTCTCTCTCTCTCTCTGTCTCTTTCTCTCTCTCGCTCTCTTGTTGCGCGCGGCGTCCAGGGATGCTCACTCCTGTCAGTAAGTGCGTGTCTGGTGCGTCGAGCTTTCCATCAAGGGAAACATGTTGCTTCTGGTGGGATGTTGCATCGCAGCGCCAGGCTTCTGGTGGGATGTTGCCACGCAGCGCCCGCGCGGTACCGCGCGGCACAGCCGTGTGCCGTCTGGCGCAGCGCGGCCCTCGCCCTCCGGAGCCTGCCCTGCGTGCCTCGACCCGGGGATGCGCCGACTCGAGTTCTGCGGTGCGCGGCCCCAGAGGCCTCGACCCCTTCTCTGGGGCCAGTCTTAGGTCGGGCGTGACCCTCTACAGGAGGAGCATGCGTGAAGAATAGAAAAATAGTCGACTTTTCTATATTTGTTTGATTTTTGTTATTTGATCATTTTCCTCCGAAATGCGCCTGTAGGGGGACATGCCCCACCTCAGGCCGGTCTTCCGCACCAGATCCAGTTCCAATTGGCCGCGGGGCCCGAAAGCCGGCCCCATGAGGCTCTAGGCCTCCCAGATGGGGACCGAGCAGATGGGGTCGAAGGATCGCGCCGCATCGCCGATGCATCGACGATGCGTCTCGATGAGGAGACCTTGTTCCCCACGCCAACGTCGCCGCTGCATCGTCGACGTCCAATGCATCGCCGATGTATCGCCGATGCGGCGCGATCCTCCGACCCCTTCTACTCGGACCCCATCTAGGAGGCTTCTAGTCTCCCGCGCCAGATCCAGTTCTGATGGTCCCGGGGCCCGAAAGCCAGCGCCACATGAGGCCGAGAGCTGGAGGTACAATAGGCCCGGATGGCGCCTGGACTTGCGGGGATTTGCATGTCCCTCGGTCCGCTGCCGCCGGGCTCTCCTTATGCAGGTTCGCCGGCCACCTCGACCGGCAGATGTTCCGCGACCCCGAGGACCCCCCGCTCGGGGGCAACCATCGGGGGCGGGGAGGGGGGGGCTAGGCATAGGGGGGATGCTCATCGATTTCCTGTGCCGATTCCCCGCTACAGTCGAGACGCATAGTAATGATGAGCAACCTTCTAAGGCTACTTCTGCATCCTTGCCCCTTTGGCCCATTTTTGGCCGCGTTCGCTGGCCAGCCCCCGTTCGAAATCGCCAGCATGCCTCCCCAATGCCTTTGCATCCTTACCACGCGTGCAGCCTTACCACGCGTCCTTCGTATGCGGTTGGACACGCCTATTCTCAAGGGAGGAAAATCCACCCCGACCCCGATAACTTGCTCTGACCCAGCGGTCCTGGGCGTTGACTAACCAGCCCTGCCCTGTTCGATTCCTTCTTCGAGTGCGTTCACCAAGTTCCTTCGCGTCAAGGGGTGCTCACCTCAGTGGGCCCTGGAAACGACAGGGCTGTTTTTTACTGGTTCCGTTTTGCCGTTTTTTTGCCGGTTCCGACGCCGTTGTTTTACCTGTTCCGTCACCGTTTTTTGACCGGTTCCGGCTCCGGCTCCGATCCTGGAGCCGCTTGTTTGGCGTTTCCGATCGCCGTTTTTTTTGCCGCTTCTGTTGCCGTTTTTTTTTTGCCGTTTCAAGGGGCATTTGTTATTTGGAAACGGTGAAAAAACGGCCCTGCCGTTTCCGGGGCCGTCTAAGGTGCTTACTATGGGGGGGATGCTCTGCTCTCTGCATCTTCCCCCCTTGTCTCAGAGCGTGAATTACCTACCCCGCTTTCGCTTCCAGGCAAAACCAAGCCATACCACGCGCCTCCTCGTCAAGCGGCCTGACCAGTACAGGCTGCAATTTGGCATCGTTTGGTATCTCTTGGAAGCGAGGGTGGTCAAAAGCGAGGTAGGTTTGTTTGCCCCCAATTGTCGCTGCCCCTCGCCCGCCGCTCTCCGCCGGCGCGCGCCTGTCCGATCGGGCCGCGCCGCCGGACCGGAGAGCGGCGGGTGATCGACGCGGTGGGGGGCCGCGCGCGTGGCGCCCGGTCGGAGGCGCCAGCGCGGCTCTCTGAGACGACGCGGAGGGCCCAGAAACCCAGGGCCCCCCTGGAGGCGAGCTGGGCGTTTCTTGGCATGGGTTTCCGCCCTACATCATCGCGGCCCCAGGCCCCATCTTTCTGCGGCCTTCCTCGAGCCAGGCCGATCTGCAGGGGTCCAGGGGCCCAGACCCGGGCGCAGACGCCCTGTGTCTGGGCCCCTGGACCCAGATCTCAGGGTGGACGGTTGGCTAAAACGACGCGAAGATCGGGACAACATCGGATCGGGATAACTCGGAATCTCTGAGGATCGGCGGGTTTGGAGTTTGGAGGATGTATTGGGCGCCGCGGCCGCTCCAGAGGGTTCCAGAGCGCTCTGAGAGCGCTCCGGAAGGCTCTGGAGCGAGTTTTATCCCGATCCTGGCCCCGTTTTACTCTCCAAGGCCCCGGCACCCCTGCGAGGCGTCCTTCCTATGAGACTCGGCGCGCCCAGTCGACGACGACGTCGTCGACGACGACGTCGACGACGACGACGACGGCGCCTCTGGGGCGACGATTATGGTGGGATGGGCACGGCCGAGGGAGGCCATTGGTTTTGAGGATCCCCCCTCCCGTTTTTCTCGGCGGGGAACTAACCACTCCCCTCCTCCTCCTGCTCCTCCTCCTCCTCCTCCTCCTCCTCCTGCTTCTCCTCCTCCTGCTCCTCCTCCTCTTACTCCTCCTCCTCCTCCTCCTCCTCCTCCTCCTCCTCCTCCTCCTCCTCCTCCTCATCCTCCTCGTTGCGCGGCGGGTACCGCGGAGAGATATTCAATTTCCAACATTGGTGGGACCCCTGTCCGTCAACAGGGGCGTCGAATGGATAATCAGTTGCCACTACTGGGGGTGGGCTCTAAAGAACTATCGCGGCCAGGAGGGATGCATCGACCCCCAACCGCCCATTGATCGCCGATGGGGGTCTGATAGCCCCATTCCGCCAAGGAGCGTGCGGATCTGCTATCTGGGGCCTATCTCCGATCAATCGGTAATGCATTGCTGATTCCAGGTCGACGCCCCCCCCTATGCCAGTCCCCCTCCCATGGTTGTCCCTCACATCCAGGGGCGAAACGCGTTTTCTTTCAATCGCAAATCATGTCAGCCTTGCACGTCCTCGGGATCAGTCTTTCGAGTGCGTTCACGTGCGCTGGCGCGTGGTGGTCGATGAGGAAGCGCCGATTTAGCGTTGATTAGCATCGATTTAGCGTCGAGTGGCGAAACATTTGATGTCTGTTCATGGGAGCCTTGGGCGGCGCCATTGACATCATCTCCTCCTGCGTTTGGACCATAGCTGGACCGCCTCTGGCCGTTCCTCTTGCTCTTCCGCGCCCCTCCTGTTCCCCCTCCCCTCCCTCTCAAGAAGTCCTCCTCGCCGCCATCGTGGAGCGGCCCCCTCCTCTTCAGACTTCCTTCTCGCCCCTCTCCTCTCAAGACTTCCCTCTCGCCCCCATCGTGGAGCGGCCCCCTCCTCTTAAGAATTCCTTCTCGCCCCCTCCTCTCAAGCATTCCCCCTCGCCCCCCATCGTGGAGCGGCCAGCCCCGGAAGCAGCCCCGGTCCCAGAGGTGCTTCAGAGCCGGCCCACGCCGCGCCCAAACCGGACAGCGCCAGGGGGCACGCGGGCACGGTCGGACTGGACACCGGAGCGCTGGGCTCGAGCTGGCGAGGCGAGGGAGGAGGAGGGGGAGGAGGGGGAGGAGGGGGAGGAGGAGGAGGAGGAGGAGGAGGAGGAGGAGGGGAGGAGGAGGAGGAGGAGGAGGAGGAGGAGGAGGAGGAGGAGGAGGAGGAGGAGGAGGAGGAGGAGGAGGAGGAGGAGGGAGGAGGAGGAGGAGGAGGAGGAGGAGGAGGAGGAGGAGGAGGAGGAGGAGGAGGAGGAGGAGGAGGAGGAGGAGGGAGGAGGAGGAGGAGGAGGAGGAGGAGGAGGAGGAGGAGGAGGAGGAGGAGGAGGAGGAGGAGGGAGGAGGGAGGAGGAGGGAGGAGGAGGAGGGAGGAGGAGGAGGAGGGGGGGGGGATGGTGTTCTGGTCTTCGTGCACCGCTTCCGTTGTGCAGCAGAGGTGGAACGAGGACAGAACGAGGGCCCACAGATGTCCGAGACGAAGGCGGAAAAGGCTCGGTTCTTCATTACAGCTCGAGCCCGGCGCGCGAGCGCCGTCTCAAAAGCGCGCCCCCGGCGCCCGAGGCGCAGGGGTCCTCCCCGGGAGAACCTCGCGGCGCCCCGGCCCTCTCTGGAGGCCTGCCGCTGGAGGCGCGGGCCTCGGGAGAGGAGGCCGGGCCTCCCAGGGCCGAGAGGCGCCGCGGGGAGCCCTCCGCGGCGCGGCGGGAGGAGCGCGGCGCGCGCCCCTCGGCAGGCGGGAGCGAGGCAGGCCTCCTCCGAGGGGGCCGAGAGGCGCCGCGGGGGGAGCCTTCGCGGCGCGCGGCGCGCATCGCCACGGGTCAAGCAGTGGCGAAGCGGCCCGCCTCGCCTGTAGCCCGACCCAACAATGTTCTGAGAACCCTTTGTGGCGTCCGCGACATGTTCTTAGAGCAGTTCCTGTTGAGATTGCCTTGTTTTGACACATCGGGCTCATGCTCAAGAACATTGTTCTGGTTCTCAGAACATTTTGAGGTTCCGAGAACATTTTTGGTCGGCGGGGCGTGAGCGAAGAGGTTCTGAGAACCCTTCGTTGGTCGGGCTACAGGACTGCCGGGACGGTCGGCCCCTGCTCAAACGGGCGGCCTCGCCGCGGCCCGCGCGACGGGGGGGGTCCGTCGGAGCGCGGGCCTCCTGCAGGACCCTGCAGGCCCTCGCGCCGCGGCGAGAGCGCGGCGGGAGGTGGATCGACCTCCTACAGTCGGGGCGCTGAAGAAGGAACCCTTTTCGTTGGGGAGGGGCTCGGTGTTCCTCAATTGTTCCACACCTTGCCCAATGTTTTCCTGAAGTTTTTGGTGGGAAGTCGAAGGTTATCTTATGACAAAAAGGGGCTTCGTTCCTTATTTAGGGTTCCTTAGGTCAACGCCCCCACTGTACCCTGACACGTCGATTAAGGAGTTGGTCGTCTTCGGTTCGCGGGAGGGCGTCGCGGCCGTCATTTCTGCGGGTCCAGGTCCGTCGATTTCGGCTCCAGGTCGTTTTCACTAAGGCAGGTTTACGAAAGGGAGGCTTGTCCACCGCCGAGTCACGGCGGCAGGTTTTTGGCCATTTTCGGCCTCCGGGGGCCCTTACCAGGCCTGGGGGGCCGTGAACAAAGAGTCTCAGGATGGACATCTGCTCCCGGGGAGTGGGTCGAGACCTTCTTGGGGGTCGGCGCCATTTTGAGCAGGACCCGCTGTCCGCGCCGCCGCGGACGTGGCCCATTTGAGACGGAAGGTGGCCTGCCAAACAGCGGCATCGTATTCGTTGTTCCGTGCCCAAACAGGCTGCGCATGAGTCACGACGCGCTGGAGTTCTCGTCGGGCCCCAGGGCGGCCTCGTCCATCGGTCCGGGGTGAGCACTCTTCCTCCGCTCCTGGTCGGTGGTGGTCTTCTCCTTCCAGCTCCCTGACCTCCTCCACTGCTGGCTGCTCTATGGCACGAGCTGGTCTGTGTTCACCGATCCCTCTCGCGCGCCTGGCCTGCGAACACAACACCGTTGCTTGTCTTGGGTGGCGCATGGGCGAGACAGGCGGGGACGAAGTGCGGGAGTCAGAAGCAATGATGGGGGAGAGGATCAGCGGGGAACGCATCGACCCCCAATCGCCCATCTACCGCCGATGATGCCTTCTCTCCCACCCGTCCGATCTATCCTTGATGCATAGCCGATTCAAGCAGGTCAATGTTTCCATTCATCTGAGCTGGTCACACCCCTGATTGTCGTTCCCACACACGCACTGTTGCATTTAATTGAATGTCTCGCATGTTTGTTTGCATGGCACTTATTCTCCCCCATCTCCCCATCTCGCCTCTTTCTCATTCGTTGCTGGGCCAGAGGAGCGTGCAAGTTACTGTCGGCCTGCGCGTTCCCTTTAGTGGCTCGCTGGAGAGCCTCCACACTCTCACGCAGGCAAAATCGCCAGAACTCATTGCGCAAAGCATAGACATTTTATATAGTTTGTTTTTTCATTCCGGGGTCCCTGGAATTCCCGACCCGTTCCTCACAGCCGGTTGTTCGTCCTGGGTCGTTTCTGACGGCCCCGAGGTCCGGCGAGGGCCACCGCAGGACGAACCAGCGAAAGTCCTCCGTGTTTTTTTTTCTTCTTCATTTCGTTGGAGCGACCTGGGAACATCGGACGGGGTCTAGACGATCAATCCGTTCCAGATCCCGAGCGCTCTCAGAGCGTTCCAGAGCGCTCGGAGAGAGGGCCGCGGCGCCCGAGACATCCTCCTCCAGAGCCGGCAGAGCTCAGGGATTTTCGATAGATCCTCGCCCGAATGGGTCCTCGTCCTGGCTTCGGCGGGGGGAGCCTGGGGGGAAGTGAGACTGGGTGGGCCTTCTCAGACGGCTTGGGTGTCCCCTGGCCTTCTGAGAAGTTCTTTTCAAGCCTTCCCCGAGGACGCGGGAAGCTCATGGGAGGGCGCGAGGGCTTCTGCGATGCCCCGCCGCCTTCTGAGAAGGCCTCCTCCTCCTCCTGACTGTTTTTCTCTTGCTCTGGCCACGGGGCGGTCGCCCGTCGTGTGACCAGTGCCTCCTAGCCCATGGGGCTGCCGGAGGTACTCTTTCGGTCAGTGAGGTCTCCTTCACTGCCAGCAGTGGTTTCCCAGCCGCCGCTGCTGTCTCTTTTTTCACCAAGGCTGTGCGGACGCTGAGCTCAAAAAACCCCTCTCGCTCACCGCCGATGGCTTAATCTTCGGGTGGGCTCTGGCGCCCCCGACGGTTCCCGCGGCTCCCGGGGGGCCGCTCCTCGGCGAGGGGGGGCGCCCCTCGCCTCCCTCTAATGGCGGCCGCTGGCCGCCGCGGCGGCCGCTGGCCGCGGCGGGCCTGCCGCGGCGGCCGCGCGGCGGGCCCGCCGAGAGGACGCCCTCGCCGAGGAGCCCCGCGCGGCGGGCGCGGCGAGCCCGGAGGCGGAGGCCGCGGGGCGGGGCGGGCGCAGCGCGCGCTTTCTCTCGCTGCAGGCTGCCGCCGACCGCCCATGCTTCGAGGGGGAGGAGGGGGAGGAGGAGGGGGAGGAGGGGGAGGAGGAGAGAGAAGGAGGAGGAGGAGGGGAAGGAGGAGGAGGAGGAGGAGAAAGGAAGAGGAGGAGGAGGAGGACGACGAGGAGGAGGACGACGAGGAGGAGGAGGAGGAGGAGGAGGGAGGAAAAGGAGGAGGAGGAGGAAGAGGAGGAGGAGGGGGAGGAGGTTGCCGCCGCCCACCCAGGCCTCGGAGGACGCGTAATGGGAGCGATGTGAGGGGGCAGCGATGTGGGGGGGCAGCAAAGGGGCCTTCTGGGGACCCCAAAGGGGGCCTTCAAGGCCCGGAGGGGGCACCGTGCTTTTCCCCCCCAGTACGATCGCCCCCCCATGGATTCGCGCCCGAAGACCTCCGACGTTTTGAGCCAGTCAGGACGGACGTGTGTTCTTGCGGCAGCTTTCGGCGTCTGGGGGCTCTCGCCGGGCCACGGGACCGGCAAGAAAAGATGCTGGACTTACCAGCTTGAGGCATACATATGCCGATCCCTGTGTTTGGCATCACTTTACTTCGGTGCCGATCTTAAAGATTCCCTCAGTTTCTTAGCGCATATCCCTAAGACTGTCACCGCCTCCGCCTAGCCGATCTCAGTGATAGGGACAAGTTCGCGGCTGCTGATCTGGACGAAGTACCAGTCCACGGTAAGTGGCCCACAGCTCCGAGGACCCCGTATGGACAAGAGTCAAGACATCGGAGGTATGGGGCGCGGTGTGTGTGTGTGTGTGTGTGTGTGTGTGTGTGTGCGTGTGTGTGTGTGTGTGCGTGTGTGCGTGCGTGCGTGCGTGCGTGCGTGCGTGTGTGTGTGTGTGTGTGTGTGTGTGTGTGTGTGTGTGTGTGTGTGTGTGTGTTTGCCTCGGCCTGCCTTGGTCGCCTCCCCTGGGGGGTGCCAGCCAGCTGCGCAACCTGTCGCCACTGCAGCGAGCCCCTGGGATGGTGATCGTGACCTCGCCTTTCATTTTCGTGAGCTTAGGGGGAAGGTCCAGCGGAGTGACGTCGGAAGAGGGGATCCAAACGAGACCTCGCCTTCCCGGCGGGGGGGGAGGCAGCAGCGCATGTGTCGCATTTTTCGTCCGTTCCTGGGAGGTCCAGCGAAGCGCAGTGCTACGAAGTGTGTGTGTGTGTGTGTGTGCGAAGTGGGGCCCAGCGGAGTGCGACCATGCTGGGACCCATGCTGACAGTTGCGAGCTAGGCAGCCGTCGCCCGTGTTGTGAGCTCATCAGAGGTCCCACGGAGTACGGTCCCATTCGCATCAGTATGATTCAGCCCCCCGTGGGGCGTTGCGCGCTGCGCAAGTGTCGGAAGTTTCGTGAGCTCATGATGGGTCCGCGCAGTGCGGTCTTAAGGTGGCCCCAGTCAGTTGTTTTCTCCCTGGGCGCTGCCGCCAGCTGCGCAATTGTCGCAAGTTTTGTGAGCTCCACCACAAAGAAAATACTCATACACCCTTCAAATGCTAGGATGTTCGTACCTACTGTAGCCTCGACCACCAGACAGAATTTCGAGCACCCAGCACATACCGAAGCTGGCAGGTTTTCACGTGTTGGTCCCTGGGAGGCGATGCTCGTTCGATTGTGTTTCGGTTCCTCTGGGTGCTCGAAATTATTTAAGTGATGTGGCCCTTAAATACAATTGGACTGACGTAGTCCAACTATTGTGTTCCCGGGCCTCAGGGATGGGTGGCGGTGTACAAAACACGACTGAGAGCCAACGATGTTATGCACCGTCACCCTCCCTGGAGGTACATGCAGAATTCGTCGGAGGGTGTCGATGTAGGTCTATGCGTGGCGTATGAGCTCCTGGAGGGTCTAGCGGGTCGTGGCCGTGTGCAGGCGCAAACTATGCCTCAAACGGCGCAGTTGCCAGCATGTCTGTCTATGGGCCCCTTGGAGGTCCAGCGGAGTACGGCCCTATGCAGAGCAGGTTCAGATCATCTCCCGCCCCTTGTTAGTCGGCGCCGTCTTCGAACATTTCGCTCATTTCGCTTACCTTTGCGAATCGACGCAGCTGGGTGCATGGCTGATGCGGCGTGCAATGACGTGCACTCCCAAGGTACGAATCGTGTCATATAGAATGAGTGCTGCACATGGGGCTCGACGACCCTTTCCTGACATCACTCGTTTCCGCTGGGCCCGTTGATTCTGCCATATGTTGCATCGTTTTTTTGGTATGGGCCTTGGTACTTTCGTTGGCGGGGGGTGTGGGGGTGGGGCTCTGGGAATGGGGCCTCGTTGGGTTTCTTGGGATGCCCGTTGTGGGTCTCCTGGGGTGGGGTTTCGTTGGGAGGCCTCTGGTGATGGGCCTCTGGGAATGGTTTCGTGCCTTGGTACTTTCGGTGGGGGTCTCCTGGGGTGGCCTGTGTGGCCACGGCTGGGCGCACCTCACTCTCGGGGACTGTTGGTCACGATGGTGTCCGAGAGGGGTCCGCATCGAAGGAGAATCACTGCATAAACATAATCTGTCAGAGCTGCTCGCTAGCGTCGCTTTAGCGTCAGCGTCGAAGGAGAAGCACGGCATAAACAGAAATTGTCGGAGGTCCTCGCGAATATCGTGGGTCTTCGCTCGATCCGCCTGGCGGCGCCTCCGACGCCGTGCCCGGTGCGCTCCTCGCGCCAAGGAGAAGGGTTCAGCGTTGATCAAAATAACTCCGGGCTGACCTCTGAAAGTTGATGTTTATGCAGTTCGTTGTGCCTCTGAGTGTGGGATGGGTGCGGAAAGACACGGAACGAGGATGGGCAGCAGTTCGTTGTCGGTGCCGCGGCGGACGTTGCCCACGTTAGACAGGAGCCCAATTGCCCAACAGCGGCCGCTGTCGGTTTTGGACCAGATGTGCTTTTGTGGTTTCACATATATATATATATATATATATAACAAGCCATAAACCTAAACTCAGCCACGCGCAGAAGGGGGGTGGGGGGAGGGGAAGGGCTTCTTAGAAGCCCCCCTGCTTCTTACAAGGCGCGGGCCTTGTCTATAGATGTAAGGCCGGCGCCTTCTAAGAAGCAGCCTCCTTCTGAATAAGCCCTCTCCCCTCTCTCCACTCCCTTCTGCGCGCCGCCAAGTTGGTTGTTGCGGAAGAACAACTCCATAAACATAAGCGTTGTTTTAGCGATCCACGCGGATTTCTTTTGGCGCTCCGCGCGGGTTTCGTAAATCTGCGCTGGGAGCACCCTGCTGGCACATCTCCGGCGCCGCCCATGGCGCGCTTATGTTTCTGGCGTGTTTTGTTCCTCTGTGTTGGTCACCACTCACCCAAGCCAACCCGAAGGCCTCAATTTGCCCTCCATTTCCAGTGGGGGGGGGGGGGCGGGGAACATCGACAAAACACACATGGAGCCCATACCCCCCAAACCCGAAATTCGGGTCTTCGGGTTGGGCTGGGGTGGTCTGGTAGGTAGTCAGTTGGGCCTCGTCGTGGCATTTGGGACAGCATCTGGCCCTTCCTCCCGCTCCTTCCTCGCCCTGCCTGCTGCTTCCCCTCCCCCCCTCTCCTCGTGCTTCTCGTCCCCCTTAAGCCAAAAAAAGGGGGCGAGTCCTGCCCGAGCCGGGCCCAGGTCGGACAGCCCCGGGAGGCCACGCGGGCTCCCAGGGAGCAGAAGCCCTGACAAAACCTTCGGAGCTCCGCGCGGGTTTTTTCCAGATGTCGGCGTGGCGGCCTCCGGCGCCGCCCTGGCGCGCTCCCTTCGTGTGGGGAGGGGAGGCCAGCGAGGCTCCAAGAAGAGCCCGCTCGGACCTCGGGAGAGTTTCTGGATTGGCTTTTGGATTCAAAAAGGAATTCGAAAGAGAATGTCTTGTTTTTGAGATTCAAAAAGGTCTTTGAGTTCAAAGAAGATTGGTTTTCTGTATTCAAAAAGAACAAGAATGTCTGCCTTTTCTTGCTCCGACCCTGGCCCTTGCGCTACGGGAATGAAACACCACCCAGACCCCGACAGCTGGCTCCTGGGCGTTTGCCGAACAGCCCGGTCCTGTTCGGCTCCCTCCACGGGTGCGTGTACGAAACGGCTTCGCGCGTCGGGGTACTTCTTGTGGGGGTGGCTTGCCTGCCCCCTACACTGCGGGCGCTGGCGGACATCTCTGATGGGCCTGTCTTCCACCACCACCACCACCGTGAGTCGGAGGGGGGGCAGGAGGTGGAGGTGGAGGTGGTGGAGGAGGAGGAGGAGGAGGAGGACGAGGAGGAGGAGGGGGAGGAGGAGGAGGAGGAGGAGTACGAGGAGGAGGAGGAGGAGGAGGAGGAGGAGGAGGAGGAGGAGGAGCCCCTCCCCCTCCTGCTCACAGTGGCGGTGGTGGGAGGCAGGGCCGCCGAGCTCGACGGCCGGAGGCCCACTGAAACGCGGAGGGGTCGCGGTCGGCGTGTGGGCTTCTCCCGGGAGCGGCGCGCGGACTTCTCTGTGGGGGGGCGCGGGGCGCGGGTGCGCGCAGCTTGTCGCACGCCCGGGTGGTCTCACCGCTCGCCGGGGGCCCCCGACTCACCACCCACCAGACCACCCCAACCCAACCCGAAGGCCCAAATTCATCCTCGATTTCCAGTGAGGGGGGGTCGGGGGACGTTGAACAAACACATGGTATCCGTACCCCCCCCCAACCCGAAATTCGGGTCAAATTCGGGTCTTCGGGTTGGGTTGGGGTGGTCTGGTAGGTAGTCACCGACGGGATGGCGTGTTTTTTTTTTGGACCGAGGCATCGGAGAAGCATGATGACTCGAATTGTGTACTTGCTCCGTCTCTGCCACAGCTGAACAGGCTATATGCGGTATCCCCGGTCGGCCAGGCGCGACGGGGCGTTGAGAACCCCCCGCAAAGTCACGCCCCGGGGGATGGCGTTGGGCGTTGCGCCAGGGGGGGGTCATAAATGGGGGGGCTGGCGAGGGTGGTCCGAAAAAGGTACCCCAACGGTACCTACACGAGCCCCCTGGGGCTCCAGAGGGGCCCGAAACGGGCCCGAAAGGGGACCGTGTCTGACCCGCCCATTTAAAACCCATGGTGATCGCACCGTGCGGTGCGTCGGTGGGGATTCGGGGTCAGCGCATGGTTCTGGGACTCGGGTCGTTCTCCGAGGACGCCTCGGGCGACTCGGGCCTCCGAGGTCCCAAAACCGTGCGTTGACGGACCGTGAGGTGAGGTCTTGGGGGATTTCGAGGTCACCGCACGGTCTGTCACCGCACCGTTTCGGGACTCCAAAGATCGCCTCTGCGAGTAGCGCCGACGTGGAGAGGGCGCGCCCGCGCGCAACGTTCGTTTCAGGTACAGGCCACGCGCCCAGTGTTAAGTCGGGCTCGTCCCTCTACGCTACAGGCGGAACGTTCAAGAAGACTCAGTGAGTAGCCTGGGGATGTTTTTTTCATTATTTTGATACCCTTTTGGATACGTTTTGACTCGTCAAAATGTTTCTTCCTAGATCCGCCTGTAGGAGGACATGCCCGACCTAACTCTAGTGCTCCCCGCTATCGCATCTGCGAGCAACGCCGACGTGGAGAATGTGTGCCCGCGCGCGACAGACGTTGAAGGTACCGTCAACGCGCCAGAGTAGTGAGGACGAGTGCCTTCATCTAGGGTACCCTTGTGCCCGTGCCTCTGCGGCCCGTCCTTTGCCGTTTTCACCGTTCGCCTGTGGCCCCCAAAAATCTAAGGTTTGGCCTCCAAGAGTCTTGCGTCCTTACCACCTTTGATTGTACACTAGTGTTCCCCGCGATCGCCTCTGCGAGTGACGCCGACGTCGAGAATTTGTACTCGCGCGCAACGTTCTTTGAAGGTACGTTGGTATGATCGTACTTCCCAGGTTCTAGCCTACTTTGGGCGCCCTCCGACATTTCAGGAGTCGAGCGGCTTTTCCCCTCCCTTGTTTCGTCCTGGGGCGGGCGGACACGCAATCGACTGTTGCGTTTTCCTGCTTGATGTCTTTACTCATGTTTCAGATGAGTAAGAAGTCATGACTGCGATGTGTTCGAAGTTTCCCGGGTCTTCTTGCCGTTCCGCGCAGCCACAGACCAGTGGCAGAGTGCGAATGCCCGAGGGCCGCCAGAACCCCCCCCCCGGACATTCGGGGCCCTCATGTGGCCCGATGGTACGCCCGTGTTGAAGCGCAACACGCACCGTAGTCAAACCGCCCGTGTCGCGCCAGACCCGCGCTCTCAATCCACGCCTTGAGCTCCGAGAGTCGACACGCCACGGGTGGCGCGCTGCACAGCGCGGGGCAGCGGAGCCCGGCGCGCGCCTACCGAGCCGACCGCACCCTGAGATCACGGTCTCCCGACTGCTGGGCGTCGTCCTCCCCCTCCTCCTCCCCCTTCCCCCCCCCCCCCCTCCTCCTCCTCCTCCTCCTCCTCCTCCGCCTCCTCCTCCTCCTCCTCCTCCTCCTCCTCCTCCTCCCCCTCCTCCTCCTCGCACTCCTCCCCCTCCTCCCTCTCCTCCTCCGCCTCCTCCTCCTCCATTTCTTCGTCCCGTCGTTCTCTTCCGCGAGGGGACAACAGCGGGTCGCAGGCGATTTTCGCCCCCACCCCCCTGACCTTCCCCACGAGCATCGAGCGGCCCCCCCCCCCCCCCCCCCCCCCCCCCCCACCCCCCTCAGAGCAGGGGGGGATCTCGCTGTGGGATGCCCCCCCTCAGGGGGTCCATGAGGACGCACCCCCCTCTCGAGGATGGGCGCCCCTCGCCTCGTCTAGATCCCCGAGCTGGGCCCCCGGAGTTCTCTTGGCCTGGCCCCTCGAAGCCCCACGGAGCCGGGGATAGCCGGGCGGGGACAGGACAAATCTGTCCCGGAGCACGCTCTCAGAGCGTGCTCCGGAGCTCTCTGAGAATGCCTCGACGCCCGAGGCATCCCCCAGAGCCGCCGGTGGGGAAACCAAAAGGTGCCGATACCACTCCCTGGACATCCCCGGGGGTGCGTTCTGACCAGCAGTTCGAGGCGAATCCAGCGGTGGCGACGAGGACCTCCCTGGAGGACGAAAAAGGAGGACAACGGGCGACCTCGTCCGAGCTCGACAACGGGTATGGGCACCTTGTCCTCGTCCGAGCCCGACCTCAGAGATTCTCTCTGCACCCTGGTCCAATTTTATCCTCGCCCTGGCTTCGTACAGTCGGGGCGCTGAAGAAGGAACCCTTTTCGTTGAGGAGGGGCTCCGTGTTCCTTGATTGTTTCACAGTTTGCCTTAGGTTTTCCTGAGGTTTTCGACGGGAAATCGAAGCTCAACTTCTGGCGAAGAGGGGCCTCGTTCCTTATTTAGGGTTCCTTAGGTCAGCGCTCCGACTGTATCCAGGAAGGGGTCGACGTATCTCTCCTGTCCGACCGCCGCGCCCCCCCGGGCGCCTCGTGGCCATCCGCCGCGAGGGGGTCCCTGGCGCCTTGGGCCGCGACGCGGACGACGACGACGACGCGGACGACGACGACGACGACGACGACGACGACGACGACGACGACGACGAGGACGAGGACGACGACGACGACGACGACGACGACGGCGCCGACGACGCGGACGACGACGACGAAGACGACGACGACGACGACGACGACGACGACGACTACGACGACGACGACGACGACGACGACGACGACGACGACGACGAGGAGGACGAGGACGACGGCGACGAGGACGAGGACGAGGACGACGGCGTGCCCCGCCCAGGCCCCGAGGGCGCTGGAGGGCGCCGCGCTGGAGGGGCTCCTCGGGGACCTCTGGGCGGACCTGCGGGCCGCCTTCGACCGGAGGGGCCCCACGGGGGGGGGCGGGAGCGAGGCGCGCACACCGCTCGGAGGGCCCCTGCGAAGGGCTATTAGGCGAGCCGTGCTCCTCCTCCTCCTCCTCCTCCTCCTCCTCCTCCTCCTCCTCCTCCTCCTCCTCCTCCTCCTCCTCCTAGTCGGCGTGGGCAGGATCGAGGCTTTACCGACCCGCCAGGAGGGTACGAAGCTTCCACCACACGACTTGCTCGGCCTATCCGCCTGCTGCCTCGGCCAAGGGAGGAGGAAGGGGGAGAGGAGGGCAGTCACGGCCACATACACTCGCAGTCCGCCTCATGAAAGTAGTCACTTACAACCCACAGAGCGCAGCGATGAGCGAACGACTAGAAGACATTAGCTGCGAGCTGAAGGGCTGGGACATAGTACTATTAAACGGAACACATCACTGGGCGGCAGCAGAGGGAGTATTTACCCACCGACTACCACACCATTTGGCATATCGGTTTGGGGGGAAGAAAGGCAAGCTGGTGACGAAGGTTTGTGGAATCGCTATTCTTGTAGCTCACCATACACACCCGACGTCCCTACGAAGCACTTATGTCCCCCCAGCCGAGATCCAAGGTCGAGTGGGGGGCCTCCGTATCTGGTCAAGAGAAGTGGACTTCTGCTTTTTTTCAGCGTTTACCTCGCCCCCATCCACTGCCAGTCCTTCTCCACGATAGCAAAAAAAGTGGCGGGGTGGGTAGAGAACCAGTGCGACGGGTTGGGGGCTCGCTGCACAGTAGTGGTAGGGGGAGATATCAACAGTCAGCTAGGCTTGCATAGAGGACCAGACGGAGTGGTCACTGCTAACAGAGGAGCTACGACGGGACCAAAGCACCACTTTCTGGAAAACGAGAACGGGCAGTATTTCAGGGAGATGTGTACTGGTTCCAACCTAGCAGTGGCTACAACGTATCACGATGTGGGCCCGACCTACTATTCCCCGAAGGGAGGCCCCAGCACAATCGACCACATAGCTATTCCAGTCTCGGCCCTTCCTTTGGTGTCTCGCTGCGTAGCGTTGCGCACGTCGGCGAAGAGGCTGCAGCTGATAAGGAGGAGAGGACACAGAGACCACATCCCCATAGGCATCGTCCTAGATGTATCGGGCAGGAACAGTTTTGCGTCGGTGCGAAGGGAGAGGGAGCCCCCCCTGGACCGGGACAAGCTGATGGAATGCCTCCGCAGAGGCACAGCGCGCCCCGACCTTTTTGCTGCTCTGGAGAGGGAGATGGAGGGGATGCAGGAAGAGTGGGAGCAGGCGAAGCAGGAGGGGACGCCCGACAAAATGCGGGACCTGTGGAGTGGAACAGCTCGGAGGGCGCTGGACACCTGCTTCCGACAGGGGGCAGAAAGACTTGGACTCGACTACGGAAGTGGTGCGAGAGCGACGGATGGCACTGTTAGCAGAAAGGAGGGCCCTAAGAGAGAGAATGGTAGATGGCGAGTCCGACGAACAACTTGTGCAGACACACCAGGAACTCTCGGAGATGACGGCCCTACTGAAGGTTTTGAGGCAAGACGCCGAGAAGGCGAGAAGAGCTAAACTTGTGGAGGAAATCTGGGAAGCCCATCAGAGAAACGAGTTCAGCACCATGCACAGACTACGCATCCAGTACCAGCGTAACGGCAGAGGCCCAAAAAAACGATATTATCAGTCAACTAGAACTCACTGGCCGAAAGAGGAATGGCTTCGAGAACTTGGGAAGAGACCCGAGGAAGGAGGACTAGCAGCACAGGAGATCGACCTGGATGAGTACGTTAGGGGGCAACGGGAGAGAATCGAAGAGCAGCTACCTCTGCCAGAAGATACGGAGGCCATGGCTCTCATGCTGTTGGACAAGAGCTGGATGCTGAAATATTGTAAAAAGGCGGCAGAACGACGGGCCTGGCCTAGATGGGGGATCCCTGTGGAACTGACTTGGGTGATCCTGGATCCCTCGACGCATCTTGAGCACCCAGAGCTCTTGAGCCGCCAGATAGAAGCCAGTGGGATTCGTGCAGCTGAAGGGAGAGAGGACGAGGAGGATCTGAGCAAGTACACGACACTGTTTCGTTATCGAGTAGGTAGAATAATTTTGAAAAGGATGGGATGGAACAGCGGGGAGAGACTGGGCAGTACGGGTGAGAAATTGGACGGCGCAGAGTTGGACGCTTGCGAAGTGACACCGTACTTTGTGGACCGACCAGAGAGAGGAGGATTGGGCGCGGCCAAATTGCGCAGGAACGACGAAGAGGGACCGTATTTGTTCCAGCAGCTTCTGGATCAGCTGTTGATGAAATGCAGGACATCGCAGGTGACCCCCCTGGCGTGGCATCGTTCAATTTCCTTTGATGCGGATAAAAACAATGGGAAACCAGGCATCGGAGGGAAACGTATCATGCATGCATACGACTCTATGAGTATGGCGTGGCATTGTGGTATACACAAAAGGGGCCCTCAACCTAGTCACCCCCCATGGGCCCAAGGAGGCCTGGCACGCCGGAGCCGCGAAAATGCGATTCTCTGCTTACAGGCGGTGCAGTGGAGGGCTAGGGAAGGGGGAGTGAGTATTGTGCACACAAACTACGATTGCAGCAACGCGTTTGCCAGTACGAAGCGGGAGCTCCTCCAGGCGACGGCATGGAAACATGCGAGCGAGGCAGACCAGCCATTCGCCCTAGGAGCTATTTGCAACACACAGCTCAGCATACGTTGCGCAGATGAGTGGCTGCACGCAGAGACGACGGTGGGGGCCCAGATGGGTTTCACTCTGTGCCCGCGCCAGTTCAACGATGTCTACAACTTGTATGTAGACAAGTGGCTTCAGTCGGAAAGAGACAGGGATATACACCACACGTGGCACGACACACGGAATCCTGTGACTGACACCTGGCACGATTTGGCACTGAACACGTTCATGGACGATGTGACGCGCACACACGCGATTCTACAGGGAGCAACGACCAGCGCGGTGACAGAACAGCTGAATGGAGCCACGACTAGACTGGAACAGACAATTGGCAAGGGCGGATGGAGGTTGAACCAAGGCAAAACCAACCTCCTCTTGTGCATCTGTGGCCCTGGGAGCTACACAGCGACAATGCAGCTCAGACGGTCCACTGAACTGAAGGAGGAAGCGCTACGAGAGATGAGAGTCCTTGGACCTTACCTCCCATCCGACCAGGGGCTGGGGGGGGGAAGTGCGCAGACGGATATCAGCCATGAGAGTGGCCTGGAGGCAATGTGGCTGTTTTTTGGAGCTCAGACACCCCTGACCCCATCAAGCGCACCATGTTCATTGCATTCGTCTTGGGAGCCGCATGGAGCGGCATGGCGGCTTTCGTTCTCCCAGCTGACCTGACAGATGCCCTCGGTGCTGTGATTGGGAAGTACTTGCGCAGACTTGCAGTAGGACGGATGAGTTGGCGGCTCGAATCAGGTGAGACCCGTTGCTATCCGACAGCACGAGTGTTCAAATAATGAGGGATAGAAAGAAGTGCCACAGCCCTCAGGACCAGGCGATTAAAGTGGCACAGAAACTGGGCGGTGCACCCCCACGAGCATGCACATGTCATTGCTGCAGTGTTTGGCGAATCCAAACTAGACGAGAGGAGACAAATTCGCAGGCTGCAGGCGCACAAGTGGGTGTGGTGTTGTTCGACCCCGTGGGCCCTACAACTTAAAGCAGACCTGGATGCACTGGCTGAGGTGGCGGAGGAAATGAAGGCTTGACACGACAAACGGACCTCGGATTTCGAGATCTTTTGCCCAGGGACCCAGGCGTGGCAACAGTGGACAAACATGGATGTGACAGTTATCCGCAGTGCAGCACTGACTTGGGCCCAGGGGAAGGAGGACGAGGAGTTGAAAGGATACGAGGAGGTGACAAAGCCTTTTTGGTGCGAGTGTGCGGTTACGGACGAGCAGGGACATTCCAGGGTATGTGGGAAACGTTTTGCGACGACAGCGGCACTCATAGGGCATCGCAGAGAGCTGCACAACATCCGACCATTGGTAGCCAGCTTAGTGGAGACTAACCAATGCCCTTGGTGCGAAAGTACCTTTGCAGACAGGCGCACGGCAATCGACCGCGTCACGAGGGCCGCCGACGGACATGGAATATGCCACCGTGACCGCAGCAAATGGAGCCACCCAGATGTCCCACCAGCAAGTTTGAAGTGCAAGATCTGTGATTTTGAGGCTCAAGACCTGCCAGAGTACCACGCCCACGCGAGGACTCATCACCCAGGCCCCACTTCGGTCAGAGAACCAAGAAGGGTGCGGCACACACAGGAAATGCCAGCCGAACTCATGGGGCTGCGACCGCTCGACGTGCCAGCTTGGGGCCTCATGCGCAGGGCAGACAGAGGAAACCTCCAGCAGTCAGACGAGAGGGTCACGAAGGAGGGCAAGGGGGGCTCCCAGCAGGCCAAGGGCGGGGACTCGAGCGGGGCGGCGGCGGCAGGAGGAGGCGAACCACCGCGCAGACCAGAGCCGCAAAAAGGAGGAGGCAAAGGAGACGATCACCACACCCAACTCGGACAAGCCATCAGCAACCTGCAGAAGCTGTCGCTGCGCACGGCGATGATGGCACGAGAACAGCAACACCTCAACTCGGACTTCTGGCTGATCCCAATCTCCTGTTCGCCGTGTCGGGTGGCCATCGAAACAGGAAAAAGACTACGCCATGCAAGTGAGAGCGGCGGGGAGAAAAACACTCGATGGGCCCTCCACACGCCCGCGTCGCAGTTGCTACGATCTCCGAGGTGAAAAACGTCCTGGCGGCGACGATCAGCAAAGAGGGGGGGGGGGGGATCGGACTCTGCAGTGGGGCTACGAGATCCTCCAGCACTGGTTGGACTTGGCGTTCCACGAGAAGGGTCGAGAGTTCGTGCTGGAGACCCTGAAGCAGTTCAAGATGTCGGAAGCGTACAAGCCCAAGGGTCAAGAAGACGACGGCAACGGGAAGGGCAAGCTGCTGTACACGATCAACCCGACGCCG